CTGATCTTAGTGGGAAAGTTTGAAGTTGCTCACAGGTGTAGGGTTTTAGTAGGTATTTATCAAGTTGAGGATACTCCCCTCCATTTCTAGTTTACCAAGAGTTTTTTTGTTTTTGTGTTTTTGTTTTTTATCAGAAATGGCTGTCGGACTTTGTCAATGCTTTTTCTATATCTACTAAAGGCCTGGTGCACAAATTCATGCACCAGTGGGGTCCCTCGGCCTGGCTTGTGAGATCTAGTTGAAACTGACTCTCCAACATCCCCCAAGGGATCCTGGATTGTAAGAGGGGCAGGCCGAGGGAGCCCATTGGTGCACAATCAGGGCCAAGGAGGGACATGGGAAGTTGGCCAGCTGGGGAGAGACCATGGGAAGGCTCCAGGGCATGTCCGGCCTGTCTTGCTCAGTCCCAATCAGCCAGCAGCAAGCTAACCTACCAGTCAGAACATCTGCCCCCTGGTGGTCAGTGCATGTCATAGCAAGTGGTTGAGTTGCCTTAGCATATCATTAGCATATTATGCTTCGATTGGTTGAACTGACAACTGGACAATCCTATACAATAAAAGCATATTAGGCTTTTATTGTATAGGATTGATAGGATTGATATGAATATATACTAGTAGTTGGTCTTCTTTAGCCCATTGGTGTACTACATTAATTGATTTGTGAATGTTGAACCAGTCTCACAGACCCAGGATGAATCCCACTTGGTATATGATTCTTTTTTATACATTGCTGTATTCCACCTTGCTATTTAGTTGAGGATTTTTGCAACTATGTTCATTATAGGTGTTGGTCTCTAGTTTTCTTGTAATGTCTTTGTCTGGTTTTGGTATTAGGGTAATCTACAGAATATGTTCTCTGACCACAGTGAAATTACAAAAATAACAAAATGGTAACTAGAAAATAAAATATGTTGGAAATATAAGCAATGTGCTTCTAAAAGAAACCATATGTTAATGAAGAAATGACAACAAAAATTAGAAAACATTTTATGAAATAATAAAATTTCAAAACTTGTCAGATGAACTAAAGCCATACTTAGTGGAAGCCATACCATACATACAAGTTCAAATGCATAGGTTAGAAGGAAAGGCTTAAGTCAATTATCTAATGTTCATTTCAAGAAGTTTGAGAGGAACCTCAAAGTAAGTAGAGACAGTAAATATCAGAAATTAATGGAAAACTCAATATTTAATAGAGAAGATCAAGAAAGCTGAAAATTTGATTCTAAATAATTGAAGTAATAAATGTGATTAAACCACAGTAAGACTTATCAAGAAAAAGAGAAAGCATAAATTACCAGTATTAGAAATGAAAAATAAGAAACCTCTACAAACCCTATGACATTAAATGTGTAAGATATAATAAATGACTTTATACCAAGAAAGTTAAAAGTTTAGGTAAAATGGACATATTCCTATTTAAAAAACAAAAACAAACTACTCACCAAAACTAACAGAAGAAAAGACAAAATCTCAGTAGTTCTGTATCAAGCAAATCAAATGAACAATAAACTAGCAAATAATGTGGAGACAAACTCATGGATCAGAGAATAGACTGTGACAGCTGTCAGGAGGAAGTTGGGAGCTGGGTGAGAAGAGTGAAGGAATTAAGCAAAGAAAAAAAAAGAAAGATTCATGGACACTGACAACAGTATGTTGATTGCCAGATGGAAGGGGACAGGGTAGAAGAAGGTAAAGGGAGGATAAATGGTGATGGAAGGAAACTTGACTTGGGGTGGTAAACACACAATTTAATATGTAGGTGAACTTGTAATTTAAAACCATGCTACAAAGAAACCCCAATATCCTGATGGCTTTGTCAGTGAATTCTACCAACCCTGTTTCCCCAAAAATAAGACAGTGTCTTATATTAATTTTTTCTCCCAAAGTTGCGCTAGGTCTTATTTTCAGGGGATGTCTTATCTTTTCATGCACTAAGTCTTATTTTTGGAGGATGTCTTATTTTCAGGGAAACACTGAGTGGCATGAATGTATATACTGAGTGGCCAGATTATTATACGTTCAGAGATCGTAATAATCTGGCCACTCAGTGTATTTCACAATCTTGCCCTAACATCCTAACACGAAAACTTAACAGAACCCAATTCAGAAAGGAAAAGGACAGGCCCATGAACAGATGTGAAAAAAGCAGACAAAACTGATCAATGGTATTATAATTAAATCTATCAAGAAGGATGAAAGGTAATGAAGAGAGTAAGGGGACTTGTGGGATTGCTGGTGATGTTCTGGCACTGGTTACATGTATGTTTTCATTTTATGTTCATTCTTCAAGCTGTACACTTTATGTAAGTTATACTTCAATGAAATATTATATAAAAAAGAAATCACTCTATTTTACTCTGGACAACAGCATCAGTTGTCTATTGAGGCCAGTCTGAACCTGGCCATAGAACAATACTTGTTGTACAGTTTAAAAATGCATTTATTTTGAATACCAAATTTGTAGAACTAAGAAAATTCTTGTCTGTCAAAGCAACCAAGGTGAGTTTCCCTGTCTACATCTCAGAAATTTTCATATCATTTTTGGGTGTCATTGTGGAATACCATGGTATTGAAACCTTAATTTATCTCTGGATGGAACTGATTTGTTAATGTTTTGCTTTTGTTTAAAAAGTATTTTAGAGGCAAGATGAGGGAAAGAGCAAAACATAAAAGGATTAGTTAATAAAAATTGTATTTATTAGTTTTTTTCACTGAAAAATTTGTAGTCTTATGTTCACTTAAAAATTTTGCTTTTTAATGTATTCTTTTTTTTTTTTTTTTTTTGTGTGTGTGTGTGTGTGTGTGTGTGTGTGTGTGTTTAATTGATTTCAGATAGAGGAAGGTAGAGGGAGAGAGAGAGAAACATCAATGATAAGAAAGAATCATTAATAGGCTGCCTCCTGCATGACCCTTACTGGGGACCAAGCCCAAAACATGGGCATGTGCCCTAACCTGGAATCCAACCATAATCTCCTGGTTCATGGGTCCATACTCAACCACCGAGCCATGCCAACTGGTTTATGTATTCTCTTTAGCTCTGTGCCCAGTGATAGAACTGTTCTTATATCATCATGTGAAAAAAATGACATAAACTGATTCATTCTCATTCATATTGACATTTATAAGCATTTCCTTAATGAGGTTGTGCCTCTGTCTTGGGAGCTTAAATGAAGACTGTTCAAATGTAATATAAGCCACTCACTTGAACAAAAAATTATGGCCACATTTTTACATTCCTTTTTAATTCTGATAACTTGAGTTTGTGCAGAAAAGGGGTCTAGTGGGGATTTCCAATGTGAAGTGCACACTTCATATAAAAATTTTTAAATAAACCTATGATTCCTGTGTTTGTATCATGCGCTTTGTTTTTCTGCATCCAAATACAATTCATTATCAGATGAGTACTTTTAATTTTAATAAATATTGTTGCTGAAAACGCATTTTACAATTAGTATACATAACCAAATTTAATTATACATGTGCTTACAAATTGGGTGGTTTTTAAATTATAATTAACGTTTAAACTAGTTTCTGTAAATGATGGACAACCCCTTTAGCTACAGTGTGTGCATTTTTCAGAAAGAAAAATTGTATTTGCTTTAGCATACTTCCATGTTTCTCATAATAATGTTTATTTATATAAAAAGAGGGCATCCTCAAGCCCATTTTAATGGATTATGTTGGTAATATGGTATTCTCCATTAATATTTATAAAATATTTTAAGTGATAGTTCTGTAAATGCAGAAATAGTATTTAATAAGTAATTTTTTAACTAAGCTTTTTTAAAAACTAGATTTAATATGTTGACATGGGCATTTTATTTTTCAAAGTGTTTCTAAAACCAGCACACTCACCTCTGGGGCTTTCCAAGCAGAAGTCTTAAATCCCCTAATCTTTTTTTAACAAAGAAGGGGGTAATGCTGGAAATATGCCAGGAATGAGCTGTGGTGTTTCTCATGAAGTGCCACAGTGAAAGTGTAGTTCCTTTTGGCAAAAGCATCATCTCATCCAGTTTTTACTCCGCTGCTTTTCCCAGAAAGCCTGTCTCCGCATTCAAGATAACAATAGGCCAGATGACTATTCTTTCTTTCATCTGTACTTATAACCATTCCTTCACTTACTTCATTTAGAGTTTTAACATCTATTTACCAAGTTTACACAACTGTCAGTTTAAATGCAGAAGTACTTTTTCCTCAGTGTAAATAATTTAGAAACACTAAAAATAAAATTAGGAGTTTCTCCTTCTGCAACTCACCTGATATTAAGAATTTGGTGCTACATGGCCAGCATAGCTCAGTGGTTGAGCGTGGACCTATGAATCAGGAGGTCATTGTTCAGTTCCACGTCAGGGAATATGCCCGAGTTGTGGGCTCGATCCCCAGTGTGGGACGTGCAGGAGGCAGCCAATCAATGATTCTCATCACTAATGTTTCTATCTCTCCCTCATCCTTTCTCTCTGAAATCAATAATATACAGATTTTAAAATGTGGTGCTTTGTGAGGCAAGACTAACACTGCAGAGCCAGGCAGCCAGGGTCTGAATCTCAAGTCTGCTACTTACTGGTCAATGACCCTCGGCAAGTTACTGACCTATGTGTCTCAGTTACCTCATCTGTAAAATGGAAACAATAATAGTATTCCTTACAAGGCCATTGTAAGGATTAAATGACCTTGTAAGTGTAAGTATAATAGTGTTTTCTATTTATTGTCTTTCCATATATTTCTACTTATGATTGTTGTTAAAAAGCATAGGGTGATCATTCCATTACTTGCTTATTTTTTTTTTTTCCTCATTAAACTTTGTTATTTTAATGGGTCTCAAAATTCTGTGATAGATTTTTGGTCAAGTTGTTTTCATTAAGAAGTACTGATTTTTAAAACTCATAACTTAAAAACTGTAACGCACACAAAAGAACCAAATGGTCTACAAAACATTCTCTTTTCCTTCTGAATGTTTTCTGATGCATTATAATCATTAACCAGTCTTACTATTAAACTTAAATGGCCAATTGAGACAAATAGTTCTGAGTCATTTCTTCCACCACTGAGTAAGACGGGGTGGCAGGAGTTGGGAATAATATTCATTCAGCCTTCTGAGCTTTCTGGGCAGACTTGGTGAGTTTGCAAGCTCCCGCTGCCTTCTCTTCCACAGCTTTGATGACACCCACAGCAACTGTCTGTCTCGTGTCATGAGCAGCAGAATGGCCCAGAGGAGGGTAGTCAGAGAAGCTCTCAACACACATGGGCTTGCCAGAAGTCATATCAACAATGGAAGCATTGCCAGATTTCAAAAACTTAGGACCATCTTTCAGCTATTTTCCAGAAGCAAAGATCAAAAGAGATCTTCATTGAGCTCCCTCAGCTCAGCAAATTTGCAAACAGTGTGAGCTGTGTGACAATCCCGAACGGGTGTATATCCAGCACTGATTTGGCCTGGGTGGCTCAGGATAATCACGTGAGCTGTGAAGCCAGCTACTGTCGTTGGTGGGTCAGTTTTGTTGTCACCAACCACATCGCCATGGCAAACATCTTTGACAGACACATTCTTGATGTCTAGCTGTAGGGTGGCTCAGTGGAATCCATTTTGTTAACACCAACAATCAGCTGTTTCACACCCAGTGTGTAAGCCAGAGGGCATGCTCACAGGTCTGTCCATCCTTGGAGATGCCTGCTTCAAAATCACCAACAGCAGCAGCAACAATCAGGACAGCACCGTCAGCCTGAGATGTGCCTGTCATCATGTTTTTGATGAAGTCTCTATGACCTGGGGCATCAATGATGGTCACATAATATTTGCAGGTCTCAAATTTCCAAAGGGAGATATCAATGGTGATACCATGCTCATGTTCACCTACTTGCTTCTTTTACTTAACATACAGAGGTGGGCAAAACATATTTTACCTTTGTTTTATTATGTATTAATTATTGTATTATTTGTGTTATTTCATATCCTTTTTTTATGATTTATCTTTTAGGTAATGATGGCTGGTAATTTAGTCTATTTTTGCCTACCTCTGAACCGTGAACATCTTTCCCATACTACTTTATGTTTTTGAATAGCTGCATTATATTTTATATTATGATGGGCCACAATTTTTTCTACCATTTCTATATTAACAAATCTTCCCAGTTTTCTCTTAGTTGTTTTCCAAAAATGTTAAGGCAAATATCCTTATACCTGTCTTCATGGATTGATATGTTAGATTTCAAGGTATGGAATTGCTTTGCCAGAGGATATTTGCACTTTTAAGTTATTTAGTCAACACCACCAGATTGCTTTCCAAAAGGCAGCAAAGCAAACGGGCAGTGCATGAATCAGGCTGCACAGTAAGGAGTCACCAAGCACAGCAAGTAGTCTGACTACAGTGGCACAGCAGCAGGTAGGGGTTGGGGGAAGAGAGGGTACCCCTGGTTCTTACAGGACACTTGAAGTGGTAGAATTTTATCTGAAGGTAGACTGATAATTTATAGGTGCATATTATAATCCCAGAGCTAAAAAGGTAAAATAAGGAGGTATCTATACTAATAAAAGCCTAGGTGGTCCTCACACCTTTGTGCGTGATGTCATCACAAGATGGCCACCACAAAGATGGCCACCACAAGATGGCCATATGCACAGTGGAGGTGGAGCCCAGTAGCTGCTCCCTGCTATGAGGCCTGGAGGTGAGGAGGCCAATCCCAGCATCTCCACTGCTTTGTGCAGAGGAGGCAGGTCCTGGCAGAGGAGGTGGGGAATGGCAGGGGAGGGCAGTTGCGAGCGATCAGGCTGATAGGGAAGGGCAGTTGGGGGTGGGCAATCAGGCCAGCAAAGGAGCAGTTAGGGGGTGATCAGGCTGGCAGGCAGAAGTGGTTAGGAGCAATCAGGCAGGCAGGCAGGCGAGCAGTTAGGAGCCAGCAGTCCCAGATTGTGAGAGGGATGTCCAACTGCTGGTTTAGGCCAGATTCTTGTGCCAGCAGTGCGGGATTGGGCCTAAACCAGCTGTCGGACATCCCCTGAAGGGTCCCAGATTGGAGATGGTGCAGGCTGGGATGAGGGATGCCTCCCCCCATGCATAAATTTCATGCATCAGGCCTCTAGTCTATATGTATAAAAGCCTAAGCAACCATTGAACCATTCAACAGTTCAATCAGTAGCTATGATACCCACTGACCACCAGGGGGCAGATACTCAGTGCATAGGGATAGAAACATGGAACAGACTGATGAATCTCAGAAGGAAGGGGGAAGGGGGAGGACAGGAAGAGATTAACCAAAAATCTTATATGCATACTAGAGGTCCAGGTTCCTTGGCCTGGCCTGCTGGGAACAGGCAGACACCGGCAGTCTGACACCACCCAAGGGGTTTCAGATTGGGAGAGGGCACAGGCCAGGCCAAACGACCCCACCAGTGTAGGAATCTCTGCCCTGGGTCTCTAATATAACATTGGAGAGAAAATGGGATCCTAAAATATTCTCAAATGATCCGAAAGATTAAAAAAATAGAAACAAATAGCAAGATAGACTTAAACTTCACCATATCTGTAATCACCTGACATATGAATGGTCTAAACACACCAGTCAAAAGATAGAAATTGTCAAACTGGATAAAATGAAAAAGCAAGACCCAATTATATGCTGTCACTTTAGAACAGACACAGAAAGCATACAATGGTAGAATGAGATGTGCCCTGCATGTGCTATTCCTAAGGAAAGTGAAGTGCCTATACATACAACTGAGGTCAGAGTAGACTTCAGAACCCCATTTCACCATCACGATGAAAGGGTCAGTTTATCAAGAAGACACAATCCTAAATGTTTATGCCTCTAATCAGAGCTTCAAAGCATGAGGAAAAAGCAGAACTGAAAGGGAAAATAGACCAATCCACAATTATTGTTGGAAATTTCCAGTTTTCTCAGTAGAAGAAGACAAAATCAATATGGGTATTTCAACCAATTTAACTTAAATGACGTTTATAAACCACTTCACCCAATAGTGGAATTCATCGTTTTCTCACATGCACAGGGAATAAATACTAAGATACACCGTGTGCTGGGTCAAAAGAGTGAGGCACTGTCCTCAAGGAATTCACAACAATGTATTCTATCGACATGGGTCAAGTATTTTCACTCAAAAAGTTATCCGTAGAAAGGCGTGGCTATACATGTGCGTCCAGCACCGACCTAGCATGTGAGCGGAGACACACTCCTGAGGAAGGAATTACAGAGACCAGGACAGCAGGTGCCCTACCCCAGACCACTGGCTGGTTCATTATCAGGACAGAGGCCAAGCCAGGACTGGGCGAGGGGCGGAGACAGTCGTGGCTGGTCGCCTGGAGAAGACCCCAGAGGAGACTAAGTGGCCAGCAAAGTGTGAAGGAGGATTTTACGAAGCGCGCTGGACGGTTCCTGTGGCGATCCTTTCCCTGTAACCCGCAAAGATACCCTTCCCCTCAATCCCCGCTGGTGGGCCGGCCACCCTGGGGAGGCCCCGCCTGGATTGGCTGAGCGCGGCGTGGGCGGGGGCCAGGCTGCCTCCCGGCCGGGGTCCCCTGCGAACTGGAAAGACACCCGGGCCAGGTCGCAGGCACCCCGCAGCGCCAAGGGCAGGAGGCTCCAGGCTAAGCCCCGCACCCACTCCTGGGCGGACGTGGGTCCTCCCGCGACCCTCGTCTCCCGGGGCCCGGGTCTATCCCGCCGCGCCCAGCCTCGGGCACCACCTGGCCGCCGCCGCCCCGCCCGGCTGGAGGGGACGTGGTGCGGGCGGGGACAGGTGCCCGGGCGGGGAGGGGCGGAGCGGGGCGGGGCGGGGAGCGGGGCGGGCCGACCCCGAGGCCCCGAGCTGCCAGCCGCGCTGCACCCGCCGCAGAGGCCGCTTTGCGCGGCGCCCAGCCCGCCCTCCCGCCATGGCCCCGCGCGCCCTGCGGCGCCGCCCGCCGTCCCCGCTGCTGGCGCTCTGCGCGCTGCTCGGCTGCCTGCAGGTAAGGCCCGCGCCGCGCCCTCCGGAGCTGGGGGAGCCGGGGCGCGGGGCTGCGAGGGGACTCGACAGCTGGACGGAGAAACGAGAGTAGGGTTTGGGGGGCAGAGAAAGCGGAAAGTTGGGAAGGCGGTTACGCGGGTTGGAACGTGCGGGAGGGACAGGGCGAGTAGATGGAGCTTTGGAAGGTGCGGGACCCCAGCACCGGACGCGGGCGCTCCAAAAGCCCACGTAACGGCAGGCTTTGGTGTCATTTATCCCCAACACTCCTGGAGCAGGAGCTCCGCGCGCACGGTCGCTGCTGGGTGGACGCAGCCGCTTCCCCTGCCAGCAGCATGCTGGCGGGAGAGGTCCGGGGCACAGACAGTGCCCCCCAGCCTCCCTTTCGGGAGTCTGGAGTCCCCAGGAGCTGGGCGTCGCGCGGTCTCCCCACCTGTGTCCTTGGCCGTTGTTAGGCGAGGGTTGCGCTCGCCTCGCCCTCCCGGGGATGCCTGGAGCGGTTGGCGAAACTGAACTGGGCAGTTTCTGCAGAAAAGCTGACACCCCCTCCCCCCCTTTTCATACCCTCCGCTGACCTCCCCCACACGCAGTTTAAGGTCCATCAGTTCAAGTTCTGGCCCTGAATAACCGCAGAATCACTTGTTCTCCGAGCCCCTTGGATGGTGTTAGGACACAGTACTGTTTGCAATGGGAGAAACCAAGGTCCACGCGGGGTTTCGAGGCAGCGGGGGAGCCACGAACAGCCCTGCTGTTCTGGAGCTCAGCCGGATGGAGCTGGGACGGCAGGCCCCGCGGGGTAGTGGTTAGTGTCACTGATGTCAGCCCCCCCCCCCCCCCCCCCGGTCCCCCGTCCCCTGGGTACGGCTTCAGCGTAAAGAGTGCTAGAGGTGCCCCCAAATGAGCATCTTCCCAGATCCCTGTCGCTGCCCAGTCCTTCGGGAGGCATTGCCTCTATCCATCACTCAGCACAGTTACTGGTAAATAAATAAATAAAGCCGGTTACTGATTTTCTGTCTCGCGAAGGGAGCTCTTGTGCGCCGAGCTCAGCACCGCAAATGCCACGGAAACCTTGTGCGCTTGGGAGTTCCTCAGCAGGAAGGGTAAGGGGCGGTGGTTTCCTCGGCTTCAGCAGTTTCAGATTTCCCTTCTCTGGCAGAGTTGGTTTAGGCTGCAGTGACTTCGTGTGCAGGATGGCTCAGACTCAGAGAGGCATTTGCAGAACTAAGTGTGTTTGGGTGAGAAGAGGGGGAAAGCCCACTGGGGAGTCGCGGCCTTGAGAAAAATAACAGGAATATGCTAGAGGCTGGGGCAGAAAACGCTCATGGAGATGCCGTCTGTGTCCATGATCCTTGTATGGGTGCCTGAGGATCCTGGAGGGGAAAGCAAGCCGAGAAACTGAATGAATTGTTCACGGTAAGCACTGCAGAGGTTGCTTAAGTGTTCATCGGATGGGGCAGGGTGCCACCTTATTTGAACTAAAGGACAGGATTCCATGAACTGCTGGCCACTGGAGAAAAACCCACCAGCCACAGTTCTGAAAAGGCATCTCACGTCTTATTACAAAAACTACCCACATATGCATAAAATGCATTGGTTGTAATATGAACAAGTGCTATCAAAACAAAGTTGTTTTTCAGAGAGACCTTTCAACAAGTGCCACTTCCCCTCCGTTTTCCTCTCGGCCACTTGAATTATGTGCATTTTAAAATCATACCTACACAGAAAACAATAAGATGATATTGGCGTTCTAATGAAATGATATCCTCAGTCTCCCCACTAGCTGCAAAAGTGGAAATGCAGTACTATCCCTTGAAGATATTGTGCGTAAAAGCGCTCCACCTGTCCAATTACTGCTTCTTTGGCTAACCTATTAGTTTAAAAAAAAGGAATCACTTTGGCTATCCATTGATGCTAGTTATCACACACGGGCAAGGTTTGGCAAACTGCTTTGCATTATTGGGGGTAAGGGTGGTGGTTTTGTAAAATAGTTGGCAAAAACAGCTTCTAGAAAGTGCTTCATCTGCAAGTATTGGCTTTGGTTTCATTTACATTAATTAAATAGAAATAAACTTACCCGGAAGGCTGTACGTTTTGCCTTTTAAGACATTTCTGTGGTTATACCTTTGTCTGCCTGTCTTTGGGAGGGAATGTGTTTTCAGACATTAGAAGAATATTTACTACTTACAGGTAAAAAAAAAACACACCAAAAACCCCACCCAAAAAAACATTGTACGTTCTTACGTCGATAGTTCTGTTTATTCCAAGTAAGAAAATGTAGACGCATGCTGTTTTCATTAAGGTAAATGTGTATCCTCAGTTATCCAAGGCCTAGGGGCAGAGTCATCCATAGCCAGGCCAACCAACATTTATGGGACATAAAACACGGTGCCGGTGAGAGACAAGAGGGACCCATAGCTGTGACTTCACAGGTCACAGTCCAGCGGAGAGGGGAGAGAACGGGTGGATGAAGCTAACAGTAACTGAGCTGTGAGCAGAGGCAGTGGGAGGGTGGTGGGAGCTGGGGCGAGTGTGGCTGCAGGAAGCAGGAGGGTTTGGGAGGAGGGGGTGTCTTGAAGAGGGCTTTGGAGGATGGGCAGGGAATAAGAGAAGGAGTCATTTCAAAAGCCAATTGAGGAAGAAAGCTTTCTAGTCAAGAAGATGGCGCGCATGGTTTAGACTTTAAAGGAATCTTGCCAAAAAATAAAACACACCTTCACATATTTTTATGACTTTACAGATAGCACAAAGCCCTGACCAACAGACAGGGCATTAACATTTATAGCTTTGGAGATAACGTCTGCCTAGCCCTGACTGAGATGGTAAGGAGACTTATCAGAAACAGATTGGCCACAGGGCCCTGGAAGGGAGACCCCGTAGAGGAAATCCCCGAGGGCGGAGCTCTGCCTAGGCTCTGGGATTGGTGGATGCCCGGCCTCTCCGTGGCTGTCTCCCAGCCTCCCACCCCATCCTGGAGGGAAAGCTTGGTGCGTGTTGCTACTTCCGCTTGAAGAATCCCAGACACATAAATCAGTGGCCTTCTATAATAGTTCATTTTGTCAGTAACACATATTCCAAACGCCTCTCCCTCATTTCCTTCCCACCAGCTCTCCCCCCCTCACCCCCCACCCCTCACCCCCTCCCCCAAATGGCAAATCTGTAACATGAACGCGTTCTCTGCGTTGATAAGGAAATACGAGCTTGCTTTTTTTCAGTTATCAGCCAGGAATTCTCACACCAGGAAAACTGAAACAATAAAGGTGAATCTTTAAAGGTCACTAAATCCGCGTTTTACGAGACCGTGACAAGGGGAGTTCCAAGCCCGGGCCTCCTGTGCACAGTGTTGTTTTTAAGGAGGTGCTGCAGGAACTCTATCTGCCATGTCGGTATTCAGCTCCCCCAGCCCGCTCCGCGCTGTGTGTTCCTACCTTTGAAACGCATGGGAAAGAATATTAGTGTTTTTCCCACATGGTGTTTCCAGTGGACCAGGAATGCTGTCGGGGCTGTTTGTTTTGCCAGCTGGGTCTGTAGCCACCCTGATGCTCTACAGGCTATCCTCGCCCTAGGGCATCTACCCTCTGGCCAGGTGGCTGCCCAGGACAGCGCTGGCCGGTCTCTCTGCCATATCCTGACCCCTGTCTTCAAGGGAAGCACGTCCCCCCCACCCCCCACCTCTGCAGCACACAGCAGACCCACTTCCATGCTCCAGAGCTGGCACGGGTGGGACGCTGCCCACAGGGGGCCCTCCCTCCAACACCTTTAGGTTCTCCACTCGGTCTATAGGAAGTCGCTTGCCTTGTCTGTGTTCCCTGTGGTTGCCATGTGTGGGCTTCCTATGGGGTCCACTGCTAGGAAGACCGTTAAAGCTCCTCACCCCTTCTGCCCCACAGCTCTGAGCCTGAGACAGTGGGCTTCCACGAAACAGAAGACTCGGCCTGTCTGAAGTTCTTAGTGAGCTTTTGAGGTTGAATGCTGAGTGGGCGGTGAGCGAGATTACCCACGTCCCACATCTCTGTCCCCATTCTGAGAGGCTGCTGGTCTGCTTCCTGCCAGCGCCCTGCTGTCTCGTTGGTTGGGTCATTCAGGGCTGGCTGGCTGGCTGCAGTTCTCACCCCAGCCTCATTGCAGGGTGAAGCCTGTGCCAGGAGGGGGGAGAAGTATGGGGGAGGAGGGCAGGGTCTGGATACTTGGACAGTGGGAGGGTGCTTGTGTGACTGGGAAGTAGTTGCAAAGTGTGGTGGGTGCCCAGGACAAGATGCGCTTCAGCCAGCCTGAAAGTGTCCAGAAAAACACCCCCCCCCCCCATTCTTGCTTACCGGGTGGTTCTGTGGGTCCAGGGTTGCTCTGTTGGGTGGGGACTGGTGTGGGGGAGGGAGGGTTCAGCGATCTCTCACAAGGAAGGACACCATCTTGTACTCCAAGGGCCTATGTGCGAGCAAAGCAGGTGCGATGTTATCTGGCTGTGTTGTGTGTAGGCTGGGGAGGGACGCGATCACGTGCCTGTGTTATAGAAAGGGTCGGGGTGAGTCCAGGGGGGCAGTAAGGAGGCCACTGCTCGAATCAGGTCATCGCAGCGGTGAAAGGGGAAGCGAAAGCAGGAGAGCTTCAGAGCCAGTGGGGCTGTGCTCGTGCTGACCATGCGGGGCCAGAGGATGTGGGCTGGTCGGGCCTATCAGTTAAAAAAAAAACCAACACAAAAAGATGTGGTTGATGGCAGAAGAAATAGCGGACTGTTTGAATTGCCTTTTTCACAGTTTATTTGGGACATTTTTTTGTCTCAGTCCCAGTCAGAATGTTGTTCAGGTTCAATAGAGAGGGATTCCTCCCTCTCCCCCCCTCTAAACCAGTAATAATGAAAGACAAAGTGTAGGCTGTTGAACCTCAGCTGCTTTGGATTATTTTATTGGGGGACAGACAAGTTCCTTAAATTCTATAGAGGCAAATAAGCTAAAAGCCAAGGTATTGGGATCTGCAGGAAATTGGTGTGCACTGGAATTCAGAGCCATT